GGCTTCGAGGGGAGGGAAATACAAACATACTGTTCAGTGCAAAATACAAAACCCAGTGCAGAACAACAACTGAATAAACTATTTAGTGCAATACAACAAGACACTGCTTTAACACTCAACAAATCCCAAATCCCATTTCCTGTTCCAACATAAAAAATAACCTAAACAAACCAAGCCCTAAACCCCCAAACAATCCCAAAGTCTTCCATAATTTTAACCAATTCTACAAAGCCTGAAGGATACAACATTCATGATTCACCCAGGATTAAGGTGTTTTACGGCCTTTGAAGTTTTTATTTTCAGTTCCTAGTTATAATTCTGTTCCTGTGTAACAAGATTCCATCATTTTGATCCTGGGAGCAGCACCCTGGATTGTCATGTGCAAGAAAGGAATCCTTACCTGAGCCATTATGGATCTTGGTTACAGAGTCAAGATGGGTGAGGCTAAGGGAAGGAAAAGAAAGCAGGTTAGAGACAAAACAGCAGGGAACTGTGTATTAAACACAGGCTGTAAAACCAGCTGCCCACAAATTACTAACCAGACCACAGGTACACCTAAACATCTTCACCTGCTGAAGCCCTGCACATTCACAAGGATAACAACTCATGATCACAAAACCCCAAAATTCTGCTGCTAACCCCAGGCTCAGTTCTACAGAAGCACAGGAGCTGCTAATCCTTCTTAATTTCTACAGCTTTGCTAAGCTTTGGTTGTCGTAGTAACAGCAACAGTAGAACGTGCCAGCAAAAAAGCCTTGGAGAGGGGCAGAGCCCCAGGGCTGTTACCTGTGAATTCTCCTGTAGGCATCCTGTTCTTCTTGGCAAAGGATCTTGGGCAGCTCCACGGCTGACTCCAGACAGACCTTCCCAATGGTTTCATGGGGGACAACATGAATGGGAATTTCAATCCTTTCATATCTGGAAGGTTATGAGATGTAATTAAAAGCAGCAAACAAAAAACTGACTCCTACAACCTTACAGCAGTCTGTCCAAGGCCTGGCAGTGCTGCACATCCACTTTTGGGAAATATGCTGGAGCTGACAGGCAAAGGGAAGCATTTTATATCCACATACTTGTCTTGAGTTTGAGTTTGAATTGTAAGGTGCAAACCTGAGGCCTCTGGCTCTGAGTGGGCGGCGGCCTCCTAAAATTCCGAAGGGCACAGGATGTGTCCCAGACCCAAGCTGCCCCCACCTCAGACTCGGGCAGCCCTGGCAGTGCCAAGCACCTCCTGCAAAGTGACATCAGGAACCTGGGCTGGTGAGTTCTGTTTCCCATGGAAAAGGGCCGGCATTCGTGTCCAGGGCCTGTGGCCCCAGGCTCAAACTCTAGAGCTGGAAGCAAAAAGGTGGTGCTACACAACGAATTGCAGCACAAATCCACACCCTGACCTCAAATCTTAAGTGAATAAATTATCTGGGATAAAAGAATCACTCCTAAACTTTAGATTCTCTTCCAGCAGCCTGCAGGAGCAGAAATCAGGAGACCCTGTGCAGGCATCTCTGTACATTTGCTCTTCACAACAGGCTGAGAAGCCACTTACTAGAGACAACCCAGAGAAAGGAGAGACAAGACAAAATACAATCAGACATAATATTCTGTACTCACTCTGAGCTCTTCTGGGCCTGAACAGACTGGAAACAGGTATAGAGAATTCTGCCTGTCTAAGAGAGACAGCAGAAAGTCAGATTCCAAAAGCAAAAAAACATCTAAAGGGCAAAGCAAAGACACATTCCTTTAGGAAGCTTTCAATAGAATTCCAGATGTTTTGCTGTGATTTGCTTGCTGGAGGTGCTTAAAGCATATATTGATAAACCCTTTAATGATGAAAAAAGCAGCAGCTGCTGGGACAGCCTAGACCTGACTGTCAGCTTATCACACATGACAGCCAAACCTGGAGGTTGGAAGAGGGGCAGAGCTGTGTGTGCTGGACACCTGAGGGAAGAGCCCATTTCAGAGCACTTTGCAGCTGCTGCTGCAGCCCCCTGGGCAGCTCAGAGCAAGAATCACTTGTTCTCCTGTCCTTGAGAGCACAATACAAACCACTCCCACCGTGCTTTCCATGTGCTCCCAGCACAGCTCTGCCCTTGCAAGCTGCACCCAAGGACTTCAGTTCTGCCCTGATGTTTCTCATGAGCCCCTGGAGGGTTTGTTGCCATTTTTAAGTTGCCTACCTTGGTGTTCTTGTCCTCAATGAAGCAGGAAAAGATCAGCCCTACAAACCCTTGGTCCATCATCTGATACATGGCCTGTGTGCGGACATCTGCAGGGACAGAAATGAGTGAGAGCTGCCCTGCTCACCTGCAGCACTGGGAAATGATCTGCACCTTCTGAAGGGTGATCTGGAATCTGGTAACAAATGTCACAAACATTATGTTTATATCCTCATTCTGGGTGAGTTGAGTTTAAATAAAGAACTTCATCCAATTTAAAATGTAATTAAATAGCAAATCTTAAAAATAGAAGTTGAGCTCACAAAGCCAAGAAATTATCTCACAGCCAGCCTGCTGCCACAGATCACCAGGAAGTCCAATACATATAAGGTACGCAGGTACTTCTTTTATGAAAGTTTTCACCTATGCATCAACACTCACAGGTATCAGAAATCATCACAGCAGGCCCAGGATCCCCACAGCTTTTTTGCTGTTCCCCACACCCAAGGACTTTTTTTTCCATCTGGAAGAACAGCAGTACCAGCAGTGGCTGATCTGTGACTCCTGGATCACGTCTGAGTCCTTGGAGAGCACACACGGGAATGGGGCTACACTGGCAGGGGCCCCTGCAGCCCACCCAGACAATCAGGGAACGTTTCAGACCCAGAGCTCTTGGAATGTGTGGCTCTGGAGCTCCAGTGCCAGGACCAGCAGCTGGGGTTTCCCCCAGAGCCCAGGGCTGCTCTTACCGACGTGTGATGGCCACACGGTGATGTGGGGGTGGGAGTGGTACCAGCCCACCACCCTCATGGGACGTCCTGTCATCTCAGCCAACCTGTGTGGGGGTCAAGGAGTTTTTGGGACAACAAAGGGAAGGGCTGAGTTTTAAAACAGCAGAGTTTTAAAAGGGCTTCCTATGAGTCAACAGAATTCCAGATCCCTTCAGAGGAGCGGTAAGAAACAGAGCAGGGAGCTGATGGGAGCCTCTTCCCCAGCACCATCAGGAGTCACAGCTGCAGAAGCAACTGGATTTTGTTTGCATGTGGCAGCAAACAACGTTTCAGCAGCTGTCCAAAGCAGCACCACTGAGTGTGTGTAGGGAAGAGGCTCCCCAGTGCAGCAGCTGGAGCCTTGCTGACCTTTCCTCTTCCACTCAGCCTCCCTGCTGAACTGCCACCCCCCTCCATAAACACACTGCAGTTCTACCTGTGACCAAAGATAAAACAATGATAAAAAACTTGTAACACAGCTCCACTGCAAGGACTGGAACCAACAAAGACTCCAGGGAAAGGCAACAGCCCACAGCCAGCACAGCCCTCCCAGCTGAGCAGCTGCAGGAGGGAGCAGCTGACAGCCTCAAGCCAACTGCAGGCCTAAAATACAGCCCATGGGAAGAGCTCCGAGGTAAAGCACTTCACTGGCGAGCTGCTGCTGTCTTGCTGAAGGATATCTCTGCTTCAGTGGAAGCAGCTGAAAGCTGCTCCGGTGAGATCTCCACACGGTCTTTCCTCTTGTCCGAGCGCCGCAGGATTATCACAGAGTGGATATGGACGATTCGGCTGGTGTCCACCTAATGACACAGAGAGGAAATCGGTGATTGCTCTGCTGGAGAAAGCACAGCCCGCAGGGCACGGCCGCCAGCTCTGAGCACCACGGGGCACAGGTGCGCACCGCAGGGCTCTGGCCATAGGAAGCTTTCCTGACTCATCTCTGACTCTCTCAGCGCTCACCGACGCGCTGGCGGCTGCCGGCGCTGCAGACGAGAGGGGCCCCGGGGCCGCTCCGTGCGCGGTGCCGGCGGTCACGGCCCGCGCCCCGCCGTCCTACGGCCCCGCGCGGGCCACGACCCGCAGAGGCAGCGCCGCCACCCGCCCCTCCCCGGGGCCGCCCCTCCGCGGGCGGTACCTCTCCGATGCAGAGGCCCATGACCTCCTCCTTCTCGGTGCTCAGCGCGTGGTTCAGGCACACCAAGAACGCGTCCGCCTCCAGGTGCACCGCCTGCACCGCCATCTTGCCTCCCTGAGCGCCCGCCGCTCGCCCCGCCCCCTCGGCGCAGGGACCAATAGCAGCGGCACCCGCGGGCCCTCCCAGCCAATCGGCGCGGCCTCCGCCCGGGCGAGCGGTGCGTCGCGGCGGAAGGGCCGTGCCGCCCACGGGAGCGGCAGCGCCGGGGTTCCGCCCGGCGGCCGAGGCCCGCGGCGAGCGGCGGGGGATGGCAGGGCCGGGCCTGAGCGGGACGGCCCGGCCCGGTCCGGCTTAGCCCGACTCGGCTGGCCCCGGGCCCGGGCCCGGCCTCCGGGGCCTGCGGGCAGGCGCGGGCAGGCGGCGGGTGCGGGGGGCGGGGGACGGCAGAGCGCGGCGCACGCGGCGCGGCGGTGGCGGCGCGGTGCAGGTAGGTCACGGCGGGGCCGCCCGCACCGGGGCCGCCCCGCACCGGGGCCGCCCGCCCGCCCCGCGGGTCCGGCCCGGGGCGCGCGGTGGCTGTGCCGGTTGCTGCGCCCTCCTCCCGCCCGCCCCGCCACGGCCGGGCCCGTCCGACGGCCGCGCCACACCCCCCCGCCGGCCCGGGCCGGGCCCGGCCGCGCTGCCCGCTCCCGCTCCTCCGCCCGGCTCCCGCGTCCCCTCCCTCGCCCTCCCCGCCTCTCTGCCTGCCTCCCCCCGCATTACGGCCATCTCTTTGTCTTCCTGTTGTTTTAGATCCCACCAAAGCTCGGCCTGCCCTCCCCACGCTGCTGGACAGCCCGGCTGGTCGGTGAGCATCTGCTACCCCTCAGTAGTCGGGCAGAGCGCAGCGTGCAGCCACAGGGGCTCGCTCCAGGCAGGGTAGAGCCCAAACCCCCGAGAAGAAGCTTTAGAGTGCCCTTAAGTCACCAGATCATCAGATCCCCGAGTTGTTGCCAGAGCTGGGCTGGGTTTTTGGGGAAGGCTCAGCACCCTTGTAGCCCTGAGGTGCCAAGGCAGCTCTCGTGCCCCAGCTGAAGGTCAGGCTGGCCCGCCTTGCTTGGGGGCTGTAGCTGTGTCAGCACAGCACTGCTGAGCCTCAGCAGTGCTTTTCCTTGGGACCTAAATGGCAGCTGAACTCCCAGTTGCTTTTTAGAACAGAAGGTGATAAAGAGTGGAGTTTATTCAGCACACTGACCTCCAGCTCTGGGGTGGTCCAGGCAGCATCTGGAGCAATTTCTATCACTGTTTCCGTAAAATATTTTAATGTACCCAACTTAAAACCAAATAAATTGTCGTGACTACAAGTTGCATTCCTCCTCCTGGCCCTCTTGACATTTATCCATGTATTGTGGCTCAGAAATCCATCCAGGTCCCAGAACAGCGTTAAACTTCTAAGGTTGATGCTAAGGTGGACAAAACATCTGCCAATATTATCCTGTCTGTGCTGTGGGGACTGGGATTTGAATCTCCCCAAAACAGCACTTCTACAGCTATGTTGATGGGAATGTTAAAGTCTCAAAGGATGATGCTGCAATTGCAAATTTAAGCTGTTAGTTTTTTTGTTGGTTGTGTCGGGTTTTTTTTGATAGGTTGTGAAGCAAGCAGTGTAAGAACTTGGGTTTAAAACTTGTTTAAAGTATAAGTAAGCTCTCCTTCCACCCATGTCTTCCTTCAGGCTTTGTTTTTGCTTTCTAATCAAACCTGCAGCAATAAGACACTGTATGTTTTCAGGTGCACTGTCTGAGCGTGTGCTTGTGGAATCTCCAGTTTCTTTGGTGTGTTTGGGTGCTGCAGACTCCTGCCCCACCTCTAACCCCATTCCTGCCCCACCCCAAACCCAATCAACGGTTTTGCCTGACCTCGGGATTTTCCATGTGGCACTACCTGGGCACCTCCACAGGCCAGACTGAGCCTTTCAGCTTTGCAGTTCTGGGGAAGCTTGGGGCAAATCAGTGGGGCAAAGGGTGAGAACACACATTAACCTCTGCCCATTCTGCACAGTGGCCTCTGCATGAGACCTTGCTCTGTTGTCCGGGTCTGTCATCGCTGCCATCTCCACTCACCATGAACACAAATGTGCATGTTGTGCTTTAGTCCTGCCACCTGTAGTTCAGCCAGGCTGAACCAGGGCACTGTTTGCATAGGAGACCTTCCAGGAGAGCTTACCTACAGTAGGAAACACAGCTCACTTACTGAGACATATTTTTCTATTACTGGAGCCAGTCTTGAGCCTTCTGGTTCTGGGGATGATGACCTATAAAAATTCCAGCTTTGAATGGAATAAAAGCAAGTTCTTGGGCATTTCTTATCATGATGGAACTTTTTCCAGTTTACTGCAGAGTAGGAGTGTGTCCTGGCCGAATTCCACCTGGGGTGATTATATTCAGCTGACTGAAAGTGATCAGTGACAATTGCTGCATTTCACTGTTGTGCAGAGTTCCACACAGATGTTTAATTTGTAATGTAGCTTAGGTTAAAGCAGAAAGGAAACGAATTACAGTAATGTCCCTTTAACCTTAATTCCTGAAGGCCTTGTGAGGCTTGTCAGCCTGCAGTCACATTCCTCTAAATGCCAGTGATCCAGCTGGTGGGGCATTCCTTGGAATGCCTGTCCCTTGTCACAGGATGGCAGCAAGAACAGTGGTGCTTTGTGTAGGGCACGTGCACATCCCCACACATCAAGTAAGGAAACAAACAGAATGGGTGAAAAAAAGAAGTAATAAAAGAACACTCAATGTTTTGTTTGTGATGGTGCTGTTCAGGCTGATCCGTGGTTGGTGTTTTGTTCTCAAAAAGGCTGAGTGCTCCTTTGTCTCAAAAAGGTAGAGAAACACTGATATTAAGATATGGAAGGCATCATAGAAGACTATTTTCTGTTATATACGCACCCTAATGCATAGCAATTTATATTTTTCTCTCCCTGACTTTCACTCCTTTATTTTGTACCCAGATTTCTTGCTCCTGTTTGAAATATGCCTTATAACCTTACAAGTTGTCAGAAGACCACTGTGTTTCACTGGGATAAAGAATATTTCATCTGCTTCATAGCAGCAGGATGTTGTATGTGTTACAGCTTAACTTTGTTCTACTTTACACCTAGATAAAGGATGAAGACTGTCTGTACCATTTTGATTACCTCTTCTAGGGTTCAAAGAGAATCATATCCCCTGACCTCCATTTGCTAATGGCTCAGCTTGATCTAACTGGCACACAGATAAAGGTGCTGTTAAACAAAAGTTACAGTAGCAGGAACCACCTCAATGCCCCAAGCTCCTTCGCCCGTGGTGGTGGCTCTCTGTGACCAGCCAAAAGCCGAGTGACGCAGTCCTGAGTGCTGCTCCCGAGGAGTTTGGGTGTGAATGGACAGTGCTGCCACCCCTGAGAGATGAGACAAAGGATCCCGCACCCCGACAGCTCAGCGAGCTCCAAAGATGAGAGTCCTGCACACCGAGCTCTGTGCTTTGTCTCCAGAGTGATCTTCGTTCCTGTTAAGCTCACCTCACTGCTGGTCACGAGTTTTGCTTTTGGGATTTAGACCACCTCTTTGTTCCCCCTCGTTTTACACAAAGACTGTTAATAGGACTGTTAGCGGAATGAGCAAAGCCAATACTCACAGGGTTTAACTTTGTACCAATAGCACCTTTTGCCCCAGAATGCCTTACCAATGCCGCCCAGCACGCGTGTCCCAGTGTACGACTTGGCCTGACGTTTCCGCTGCCTTAGGCACCACCTCAGCCTCCCGAGCTGACTTTTAGGGACATTTCCGCACGTAGCATCTCAGCCGAGGAGTCGGACAGCGCCTGGCTGCCAGGTCCGGGAGCTGTGTCCGTGAATGTGCTCGGCGCTACTGAGCCCGCGGGATGGCCCAGGGAGGGGAGGCTGCGGCTCCCCCCGTGCGCCTCTGGGTGCGCCGCGTGGGGGTTTACTGCGATGAGCACCGCAAAACCTGGCTCGTGGCTGCAGAAGAGGCAAGTGCGCGCTTTGAGCTTCCCCGTGGTTGTAGCTTTGCTGTTTCGGGTGCCTCTGCCAGTAACTGCCTGCTCTGTTTGTTACTTTCCCCCAGGAGGAAGGTATGCTGAGGGCTCGGATCCAAAGAGTTCAGGTTCCCCTGGGTGAGGCGCTGCGACCCAGCCAGCTCCCCCCATCCCGGCTGCCTCACATGTGGCAGCTGTCCCAGGGTGAGCAGTACAGGGATAGTAACTCTCGCGTTTGGGAGATAGAGCACCATCTCATGGTAAGGATGGTGGCAACAATAGACCATAGTCATTCCTGTTTGTGAAGTCATTTGAGATCCTTGAGGGACGGCAAAGGACTGTTACTTTGTTGAAGTCCGTTAGCTCAACCGCAGTTAACTGTAGACGTATTGAACTTTTCCTTGTCACTTACAGCTTGATGGTGTTGAAGAACTGCTGCTTAAACTCGTGCCTGGGGATTAATCTGGTATGTGCAGACATTACCCCTGCTTTATACTGTGCACTGTTTACTCCCAGTCTTTCTTTACTATGAATTTTTGTCTTTCAGGAGCAGTGGCTCTAGGAAGATGCCATTGTCTGTTTTGTACAATAAAAGGTTCTCTCTCCACTGAAATGCAGCCACCTTTGAGGTGGAAGCAGTTAAAAACACACAGCAGCAGCACACAAGAGTTTAGGACAGGCAGTGAAGAGGAGTATTGTGACCAAGTGAAACATCAGGGGGAGTTCTAGGTAGGCAGAATGTAATTGCCCCAAATGGAATTTGGCCAGGATGCTGCAAAAATGCCCTAATGATACTGGAAACTGCTGTGGACTGATGACTTGTCAGAAACAGGAAAGGCAGCAGCGCCCAGCTCTGAGCAGAGGCCGAACTGTGGCTCAGAGGGTTCAGTCTCACCACCACTTTCAGTGACACTGGTGCTTTCCTTAGAGGTCTCCTGTTCAACTGCTGGTACCACCAGGTTTTGCTTGGCTTTTGTTCTTACACTGACACAGTTACAGGTCACAGCTACAGAAAAATCAACTTGAGTGTCTGAAATCCTTTTCTGATGTATTTGAACAAGATGGAGCTGTCCTCCAGTCTGATTGAGGGGTTTTTTGGACAGAAGGAGAGAATTTCCAAGAGACTTTCTCCTGAAATAAAGTGAAAAGAGCCCTTCTTGTTGCTTTATGGCATATACACAACTGAGTTGTTTGGTTGATTACTTTTTTTAAATGCCTTCTCCAGCTGTGGTTCCATGACTTGCCACCAAATCCTTGGTTGTGTAAAGCTTACAGATGTGGATTTCACATAAATATGTGTCTCAGTATAAGGTCTAGAGATAGAAAACTTAGAATTTAGTCAGCTGTGTTAATTTGAATATTTTCTGGAAATTTTGTATATCCAAGTGAAAAAGGATACATTTTAACTAGAGAAAAAAAAAAGGCTTTTAAACTTAGTGACATGAAACTTCCTCTATTCATTGTCCCCATCATCATCTTTTAGCCAGACACAGAGAGTTCTTGTGTGTGTTGGCAGGCACCTGCAAGCAGCAGTAGATGTTTTCTGAATGATGACAGTAGGGGAAATTGGGAGCTCTTGAAAGATGTGGCTGTAGGACATTGTCTTTCCCCTACCCCCTGTAAAGAACCCTGATCTGCAGTAACATTTTCCTGTCATTTTAGTTCCTGAACATGTCCCGGAAGGATCCCTGCCAGAAACAAGCCTGTGAAATACAGAAATGCTTGCAAGGTACCAAGTGCCACTTTGTCTTTGATGTCTTGATTTTTGGTGGAACTTAATTCTTTTAACTTAACCTTGTCCTTTCCTTTCACGCTGAGAAGGAACAAAGCACATTAGCATTGCCTGGTCACAAAATGAACAAAATTATAACATCTGATTTTAGTAGAATTACTTTGTGCTTAATTGTAAATAATGAGACATCATTAGTATAAAGCAGAGGATTAGTAACAGTAATGTGCTTATAGTGTTCTCCATGCTGGCAGTGAGATCCCACATGTATTTTTGGGATTCAGCCATGGGCAGGGAGAGCTAGACTTTATAATAAGCTCTCTTACAGTGTGGTTAGCGAGGGAGTGAGTGGAGTGCATGAGAAGACTGCAGAGCTGCTCCAGGGGCATTTCAAGAGAGGTGGGACAGAATTCTGTCCTCGAGGTGTGAGATGGTTTTTCATGTCCCCAGCAATTGTCTGGAGAAGACCTTTAATGTCCTCATGGTTTGGAGCATTCTCCCACAAAGGACTACCTTATCTCCCTCTACTACTGCAGTTAAAAGCTGATAGTTGACCCTATTTTAGTCCCATCTGTGGCAATGTTCTTTTTGTAACATTTGTGGAAGTTATTCCAGGTGCTTTCCTGTGTAGGTTTGTGTACAGTTTTGATCTGAAAGGTTAAGTGTTGGCAGAGAAGCTCTTTGCTGCATGTACACATCGCTGTCACTGCTGCTGTTCATGTATTGTGCTGTGGAGGTCTCTCAAGTGTACAGATGAAGCAGCTGAGTGGACAGAGAGCAAAGCAATTTTCCTCTTTAATTAAAGTACAGAACCTTAACTGAGGAATGTACCCAGTGTGTGAGATGGAGGCTGGGAGCTGGACCTTTGGGAGATACTGACTTCTCAAAACTTATTGTTCCAAAAGATCTTGCTGCTTCCTCTGAGAGACTGAATGCCTGCTGTAAATCTCTTTTGTGTTTTCTTATCTGTGTGTGACTTTCAGCAGTGCATCCTTGACAGATGATAGTGTGCCTGTATGTAGTTACAGTTTTAGAAACAAAGATGCAAAGGCAGAGGGACAGTTAGGAGAGCCTTGGAGTACTCATCAGCTGCAGGTTATGGCAGAGAGAGACCAGCTCTCCTCTCCAAGGGCCTGCCATACGTTTTGGGCTGCCAGCTTGCAGAAATCACCACAACATTTTTCTCAGGGGTGATCTCTGTGTGTGTATCACACCTCACTCACTAGCCCAGTTAGGGAATTCATAGCCCAATGATCACAGCAGTGTGGTTTGCTCATTAACTAGAAGGTGTTCACTGCTGCTTTCTGGGCTCTCCACGGGTGCTGTGTGTCTCACATTATGCTGCTGTTGCTTCTTTTAATATTTTAAAAGTCAGAATGGGTGTGATTGCAGTTGTGTCGTGGTTGCAGAGCTCATCCAAGGCAGAGGAGGTGGCTGTGCATGCCCTGTGTTTCTGGGCAGAACAGGCAGGTGGTTCTTAACTCAAACCAGACTGAGTCTCTTCCTGCAGGGCTCCTCTCTGTCAGCCTTTGGCCACAGCTTTAGGTGGCTGCACCTAAAGAGAGGTTTTTGTGAGCAAGAAAATGATAGAAGCTTGTAAGCAGCTGAAGAGCTGGGCTAGGTGTGCTCCCCCAGGGAACACAGCCTGTTCCTCTCTGCAGACCTGGTGTCTCCTTCTTGTTTTCCAGCGAACAACTACCTGGAGTCCAAGTGTGAAGCTGCGCTTCAGGAGATGCGGAAATGCTGCGCTCGGTACACCAAGGGCAGATCCGTCTGTTGTTCAGGGTTTGAGAGAGAAGAAAGGGAGAGAGAAAAGGCTAAGCTGACTTCAAAAGGAATTTCCCCACCACCTCAGTAACACAATGCAGCTCCAGCAGGTGCTGGAGCATGGACTCACTTGAAGAGCTTGTGTGTGTTTTTTTCAAGCCTTCTTTAGACTTTCAGAAAAGCCAGATTGCTCCTGGAACACACCATTCAGCACACCAAAAAGCATTACACAGTACCAACATATGGCCTGGTTAACAAACTTTATTTTCTGTATGAAAACATAATCTATGTTGCCTCTGCATCACACCTGTGAAATGTCAACTTGATGTTTTTAGGATGCTTACCTTACTCTAATCCATCCTTGTTCTAAAAATGGAGAATTGGAACCGAGTTATTCTGGCTTCTGGAGTGAGAGGTACAGGAAATGAGCTCAGAAGAGTGAGTTTAAACATGAAACAAACCCATCTTGATACAACAAAGGTATTGCTGCCACCATGCAGTAGTTCCAGACAATATTTGCCTGTCCAGTGGTTCAAGCTCAAGAATGGGAATCAGGTCTGATGATTGTTCCTAAGTCTTGTATAGATCATGAGTGACTACAAGTCACTTTGCCTAAGTGCCTCACTTTTCCACTGGACAGAGTTGTTTATTTTATATTTGAATTGCCTACACGCTGCTATTTGCATGATAAAGATGTTACAGGAATATAATTTCAGGGACTGCTACAGGGATAGGATATTTTTTTAAAAAAAGCAATATTCATTTGAAAGATTTGACTGTTGATACAAAATTTATAAATTTATGTCTAATTTAACACCTTTAAGCAATATGCTTTGAATCCAAGTCTAGTTAAAACTGCTGATACCCAAAGGCCTGTCACAGAGCCCTGGGCTAGATCCAAGAACTGACTTAGGTGCTGCTTACTGAACAAGCAGTTGTAGGCAGTAATTTTCCATACAGCATTCCAGACTCACTCCCCAGCCGGCTGTGTCTGGACCCCAGGAGAGATTGCTTTCCAGAAGCTCTCGGCCATGCAGCAGAATTTCCTGTGACCTGTAGGAAGAGCTCATAGACAGGTTCCTGCACCACCCTTCAGCGCTGCCTGTAGCAGGAGTCCAGGCACCCAAATATCAGGCTCCCAACCCACTAGCCCTAACTCTGTATTAGATCTAGCCGTAAAGGACTTTTGTGCTGTGATCAAGTACAACTTACTAATGAAATAGAGCTTCTATAAACCACTGAGGTCTAGGCACAATAGTTGTGTGTACTGAAGCCTAGAAGAGCAAACCATCTGCATTCACTGCTCTGAAATACCATGGTACAAAATAAACAACTGGAACAAATTGTGGTCTCTGGTTGTTTGTTGGGCTGCAAGCTGGGCGTCTTGGCTGCTGTTCACAGCCCAGAGCCATGTGAGATCATGTTTAAATAGAAGCTGCTTGATATTTTTATAACTGGGGCTGAAGATCAGAGTAATTTAGGGCTTGTCTTCCCCTCCCACCACCCTCGCCTGCAAGAAAAACCCTTAAGACAAAACAGAGGGTTTAGTGTCCCTGAAAAGTAGGGAAAAGTGATGACAATGTTGTGAACCATCTCAAACACTGACAAGTAGCTAATTTTTCTCTTTTGTCCTATCTGAGCAGGAACAGTGGAAAGTCATTAATATATGATAATATATATATTTAGGCTTTTGTTGCACCTATGAAAAAGAAATAGCCTTGTCTCCATGCCCATTTGAAGTTGGGTGGAACAAATTTGCTCAGCAGAGGCAACCCAGGCTGGCTACAGACCCACCTCCTGCCCTAGGAGCACCCCACTTCTTGGGAATATGGGTGATTGGTGCCAGGATGATAAGGGAGAGGGGTTTATTGAGATAGCCCAGGTTACCTGCATGGATGAGGGGAGGCTGGTGCCCTCATACACTCATTTACGTTGGAACAGACCTTTAAGATCGAGTCCAACCATTCCCCCAGCACTGCCAATTGACCACTCACCCATGTCCCCAAGTGCTGCCTGCTACACTCCTGCTGCTGGTCTGGCTGTAGGTGCTTCCCTCAATCACATGAGACAGGAAAGTGCTGGTTTCCAGGAAGCCAACAGACTTCACACAGAGAAGCATTTAGAGCAAAACTGTTTAATAAAATATCACTTCAACAAGCATTTACATACAATATATAAAACCACTTCAAAAGCCTAATGTGTTTGAAATCTTCTCATAGTGTAACAGATGTCAGAAGTTGTTGAAACAAGACTGAAAGGAGCAGGAGTGGGGAGGGGAAGGGACACCCCATCTTGGCACCTGCACCAATGAAAATGCATCCCCATAGAGACTGATCCAGCATCAAAGCTTCCAGTGTTGCCCCACAGCATCAAACAGTGCCAGCCGTGAGCCCAACACCAGCACAGCAGAAAGATTTGCCACATCCTGATGTCCTTGTCCATTCTCTGCCTACATTTACATCAAACTCAGCAATAATCTGTTGTTTCCCCAATAAGCAGCATTTTAGCTCCCTCTCTGGGCCATTTCTTTCCACAGCAGCAAACTGGGACTTGAGCAGAACTCGCCCCACCTAGGGCTGGGCAGAAGCAGAGACTTATGTGAGCCTGAAAAACATCCCTAAGGTCTGTTAATGATTTTTGCTTTGAGCTTTGTTGTTGGAGACAGCTTTGTGGAGATCAGTGCATCTCAGAAGAAGTTGCGTTCTGCAGCCCACTCAGCCAAAGAGCAGCAATGCTGTTGTCCTACAAGAACAAGAGATAACCTGCAAGACCAATGTATCTATTTATGCATGTTCATGTCTGCAGATCCTACAGAAAAGCAAACCAAATCCCAAAAAATCCCACCACCATCTGTAACTGCTAAACACCAATTTATTTAAGACCTATTTGCTACATTCCATCACTCCTGCAGTCCAGGATGGCCTTTAGGAAGGCCATTGTTAAAGGATGTGAGCCCAGCTGCTCCTTCATTCTCCTTGGCCATGTATGGCAGGACAGGAGCAAAGACAGCAGCTTCTATCTTCTCATTACCTGCAGCCTCTCTTCAGATCCTGAAGGTGAGGAAAACCTCAGCTTAATCAATGTGGTACTATATGGACACTTCAATCAGCAGAGCTGAAACAAAACTACCAAATGCAAGTGCTCATTCCAAACCATCTGGTGGAAGAACCCACCATTTCAGCTCTACCAGAAGCTCTTGGGGAAAGATCCCCTTTCCAGCCATACTGAGAGCAGCAGATCACAAAGCCTTTGCACAGCACTGGAAATGGGGTGCAGCTGCTGAGCCAGATGCTGCAAAACACCCACCCAGAGTGTCATTGTTCCCTACCATGTTTCCCATTGAAAGATGAGCTGACTTTCATATAAAATCCCATATTCTGGGCAAGAACTCCTTCCTATACCTGCTGGAAGACATCACCACATTGTCAGGCAAGTCTCTAAGCTCACAGAATACCTCTGGGGGATGTATGTTTGTACTGCACACAACTGCACTGAGTCAGACTGTCCAAAAACAGCTGAGCTCTGTACCTGGGCTGCCTCATCTCCTGCAGAAGGGCTGCAGCTGATGGAATTAAGGAAACAGCTTTTCTTGTGGAAATGGCAAACACAAAGAAGGAACATAACTAAGGCAGAAATATGCAAATGAACCGCTCTCACAAGAGTGCGGTCTGATTTTCACAAAAGTTTTGTCATTTCAGTTGCTTGCAGAGACCAGGGAGAAGGAATTTGTGCTCTTCAGAGGCAAGTAAAGGACTGCACTCCAGATTTCACACCATCCTCCTTTCTCCAGTACAGCTGGCAACAGGGACCTGGACCAGTACAGTATACCCTAAGCAGGGATGCATTTCCTGTCTACAATCCTGTCCCACATGGTTACAGCTCGAGGAGCATAACCAATACCAAAGTGACCAGAGAAGGTTGTGGTAGACATGGAAACCCCAGCCAGAGGCCCAGAGTGTTTTACAGTAAATGGCACTGCTGAAATGCCCCCATCTGCCACAGCCAGGCTGGGCCTGCTGGAAGCAGGAAAGAACCTCAAAGGCTGAGCCTTCAGGTGGTTCTACAGCACAGAACTTGGTGACTTTCAGAACACATCATGAGGAAAGGGCCTGGAGAATCAGCCTCAGTGCTCAGTCTCCATCAGCAGTACCAGTGCTGCAATTTCAGTACGGGGAAGGATACCAGCAGAGACAAAGCCAAATGGCCACCTATGTGCAGTGAAATATCAGGGGAGGGCAGGAAAATCCATATTCCCCTGTCCTGGACACAGCTCAGGCTGTCCTTTGACACTTCTGCACCCACCCCAGGATAGTCAACCACATTTTGGATTCCACAGACCACCTCTGTGCAGAGGGAAGCAGAGGTGTTCCAGGTGCCAGGGCAGAAATACTGAAAGCTAAACCATGATGAAGAGCTGACACATAAAGAGTGGTGAAGAGTTTGACACATATACTGGCAGACAAAGGTACATGTAACAGTCCTGAGCACCTGGAATAAGCACATTTAAGAAGTTTCTCTGCTGCTACATTTTTATGAAGTAGAAGCTCATCAGAATATTTGAGACTGGGTGTATTTGGTGGGAAATCATGATACACTGAGAGTTGTAAGCTTCCAGACCAACCCCAGCACACTAACAGCCCAGACAGAACAAAAAGGTGGAAATCAGAAGCAGCGTTGTAAGAAATAAGGGCTGAACCTGTGAGCAGATGGGACTGAGCCTGTTGGCAACATCCTTTGACTTCTAAGTGAGAGATAACAGCAGTAGGGGAGGGGAAGTTGGGCATGAAAGGAGAGTGCAGCTTCTAGGATGCCATTCCAAGCATGAATCCTCCAGCAAACCCTCCAGTCAAGATAACATTCTTCTTCAGAAATATGACCACCTAAGCAGGGATGAAAAGAGACAACAGTGTTCAACAACATCAAGCCACCCATTGACCCTCCTGCTAAGAAATCCCTCAGGCTGTTCTTGAGGCAAGTCATGCTCACAGAGATACCACTGCTCAGATTTGGGAAAACTTCCTACCTAATTACCTCCCCTCCCCAGCTGCACCAGCACACAGCCAGATCTTCATCCTGCTCAGCCATGAGCAGCCAGCTGCTCCAGGAGAATGCTGTGGGAAATTATGTCTTCCTAAACTCTAGGCAGGCAGCATCCACAGCTTTTGTCATCTCTCCCATTTTGCTGTCATCCAAGAATCCCCTCCTTGTATTTGCACAACTGAACATCCTTAACAGCTCAAGAATCAATCCCGTTTTCTACTGTCCCTCCAGCACATGCCCTGGGAGAGCTGTCTCACCTCATCCACTCTGCTTTTCACTTCTGGAGGCATTTGATTACCACTGGTGTGAAATTTCAGCTGCTGCTTGGCTTTGTTCATGTCCCGTTGTACTAGGTTCCAGTCCACCTTGATGTATCCTGTGTGGTTTGCAATCTAGAGTTTTGAGGATTAGAGAAAAGCTCCTGAAGTCCTGCATGACCACAGCTAAACCCCTTGCTCACCCACCTTCCCTGACCACAGCCACCTCCCACTCACTGGTCCAGTGGGCACACTGGCTTAAAAATCGAACAGAACACCAACCCTGGAGCTGTATCAAGTGTTCTGCAACATCTGTCTCCCACAGTAATCCCCAAACTGCTGGGCACACACTGCATCTTAGCCTGCTTCAGCCTCTTTTCCTCACTGTAAAGCTGGCATCACCTCCCCCTAACAACTGCCATGGATATTACTGGGACTCTCTGCAGTTCTCCTGCTCGTGTGGGTGGACACTATTGATAGCCCATTCCTCTCAAACTATTTTATCTGCTCAGGGTGATTCAGCTGTGGAACTCCCTCTACCCAGAGCAAGCTTCTGACGTTCAGCAGAACAAGCAGAACCAGGTGAGGGAGAATGAGTCACACACAAGACCTGTCTGCCTGAGGAGCAAACAGGTGAGAGCTGAACAAGGCCTGAGAGCTGCTCTACCTGCTCCAGGATACACCAGATACATGAACACATCTGAGTAGCTTCCCTCAATGCCAGGCCTCTTGGAAACCAGCAGAAGTGGTAGAGGACAGAGAGAGATCTCCTTCCTCTTCTCTTCCCCAGTGCTTTACAGTGAGCCCCACCTGTGCTGGCTGACTCCTCGGGAAGCCAGGCTGGCAGGAAGCATGCCACAGACATGGGTAAATTCTTCTTGACATGCAGGGCTGTTCCTGCAGGGACACTATGTCCACAGCCACAGGACTCAGTATGTTAGCCTGTCCTGCAGCAGCAGCATGGCTCACTGCAGCTGAAGGCTCTCCCATGCTCCACTCAGGTGCCCCTGCAGTGAAAGCTCTCCTGTGCCTTTGGCCTAGCCTTT